GACTGGACATTAGGAAGAACTTCTTCACAGTTAGAGTGGCCAAGGTCTGGAACGGGCTCCCAAGGGAGGTGGTGCTCTCCCCTACCCTGGGGGTCTTCAAGAGGAGGTTAGATAAGCATCTAGCTGGGGTCATCTGAACCCAGCACTGTTTCCTGCCTATGCAGGGGGTCGGACTCGATGATCTATTGAGGTCCCTTCCGACCCTAGCATCTATGAATCTATGACATCCAATGCCCAAGAAAGGGCCAATCTCCTACATGACTTTTTTGCATCAGTTTTTCCCCCTCCCAGGAAGATCACACTGCCAGGAATGGCCCAAACCAACCCAGGAGTGGGTGACAGGCCCAAAATCGATGTAGATCAGGTGAGGGAACACCGTGAGAAACTGGACATTCACAAGTCTGTGGGCCCAGATGAAATGCACCTGAGAGTCTTGAAAGAACTGGCAGACATCATTGCATTGTCCTTGGCAGAGATATTTGAAAAATTGTGGTGCTCGGGCGAGGTCCCAGGTGACTGGAAAATAGCCAACATGGTCCCTATCTACAAGAAAGGAAGGAGGGATGATCTGGGGAACTATAGACCAATCAGATTGACATCTATCCCTGGAAAAATCCTGGAGAAAATTGTCAAGGGATCCATCAATGCCAGACTAACCAAAGGCAAGCTTCTGAATGCCAGCCAACATGGTTTTCTACTGTCAGGTCTTGCCTGACCAACCTCATCTCCTTCTATGACCAGGCAACATGTGCCCTGGATAAGGAAGATGATGTGGATGTCATATATCTGGACTTCAAGAAGGCCTTTGACCTAATTCCCCATGATGTCCTCATGGTTAAGCTGAGAAACTGTGGGCTTGATCTTCATACGGTTCAATGGCTAGGCAACTGGCTACCGGGTTGGAGCCAAAGAGTACTAGTTGAAGGGAGCAAATCAATGTGGCACAGGGCTACCAGTGGAGTCCCTCAGGGCTCAGTACTTGGGTAAGTACTCTTTAACATCTTCATCAATGATAAGGATTCGGGAGTCAGATGTGAACTAGCCAAGTTCACAGACGATACCAAATCATGGGGGAGGGCAGTCACACGGCAGGATACGCTAGGGATTCAGGCTGACCTGGACACACTCTCAAAGTGGGCTGACCAAAACCTGATGGCCTTCAATGCAGAGAAGTGCAAGGTGCTGCACCTCAGTAGGAACAACCCCCAGCAGGCTTGGCAGTGCTATACTCACTAGCATCACAACCAAGAGGGACTTGGGGGTCTTGACTGACCACAAGATGAATATAAGCCACCAACGTGATACTGTAGCTGGCAAAGCTAACCAAACTCTGGTGTGCATCCACTGATGCATCTCAAGCAAAACCAGGGAAGTCATCCTCCCGCTTTATTCAGCCCTGGTGAGACTGCAGCTGGAGTACTGCATCCAGTATTGGGCCCCCCACTTCAGGATACATGTGGAGAAGCTTGAGAGAGTCCAGAGGAGAGCCACTTTATGATCCAAGGCCTGAAGGGAAGGCTGTACAAGGAGAGGCTGAGAGGCTTGGGACTCTTCAGTCTGGAGAAGAGAAGGCTCATGGGAAACTTGGTGGCAGCCTACAGTTACATAAGAGGGGTACATCAGGACCTGGGAGAACAGCTGTTCACCAGAGCTCCCCAAGGGATAACAGGGTCTAACAGCCATGAACTCCAGGAAGGTCAATATATAAAAAAAAAGTTCTTTACAGTGCGTGTGTCCAGGGTCTGGAACAAACTCTCCCCAGAGGTGGTACAAGCACCTACTCTGGACTCCTTCAAAAAATAGGTGGATATATTTCTTGCTGGGATCACTTGATCCCAGCTGACTTCCTGCCTATGGTGGTGGGGCTAGACCCAATGATCTCATGAGGTCCCTTCTAGTCCCTAATGTCTATGGAATTATGAAACACCTACCCACCCCACAGTGACTGCCCCTACTACAGCTGGAGGGGCTTTAGCTTCATGGTGCTCCAGGCCATCATGGTCCACTGCAGAGCCTTCAGGCACTTGAGTGACAGCTGGGTGGGCAGTGCCCACAACACCCACATGTTGCTTAACTCTGCCCTGCCATGCCTGCTGCAGAGTGGCTGCTTTGCACTGAGGATGCTGGACCTGCAGCTGGGTGCTATGGTGGTCCTTCCCTTCCGCATCAGGGACCCGGCCTACCCACTCCTGCCCTGGCTCATGCAGCCCTACACTGGCCAGCTGGACCCCTGCCAGGCCCACTTTAACCAGTGCCTGGCCAGACTCACATCCTGATGGAGTGCACCTTTGGGTACTGCAAGGGACGCTGGCACACCTTCAATGCCTGCCTTGAATTCACTGATGACACCCTCCCCTGGGTCATCATCATAGCCTGCATGCTGCATAACATCTGTGAGGCTGGGAGGGAACTCTTCTGCAAGGCCTGGGAAAAGGAGATGTGGTGGGCAGAGGATGCCTGGGAGTGGGAGCACCACCTGCAGCAGCAGTGACAGCAATGGGCCCTCCCTGCCAAGGTGCTGGGTGAGCCACATCCATGCCACTGGGGGCCAGGGCACCAGGTGCAAGAGGTGCTGGCCTACCACCTTCTCCTGCACTCCCTGCTGTAGCCCACCTGGACTGCCAGCCACTAACCCTGGACACCACCCTCCCAGCACCATGCTCACAGGGGTACAGTGTGGGACTGGGAACCACGCAGTGAGGCAATGTCCCTCAGCACCTTCAGGCTACAGGCAGGCTTCTGTGGGTAGGCTGCAAGCTCCTGGGGCTGGCCCCAGTGGCCAGAAGCTGGCTGCAGCTGTCAGGCCTGTCAGGAGCCTGCAGCACCCTGCAGGTGTGGACATCATGGGTCTGGCACTGCAGTGTCAGGCAGTGGCACCTGGGTGCAGGCAGCCTGGCAGAGCTGGCCTGCAGCCTGCCCAGGGGGACACAGTGGTCTAATGGGGCCTCAGGCTGCCTGCATGTACCCCAGGGCTCACTGTGCCTGTAGGGTTTGAAGGGCCTGGGGCTAGGGCAGGCATAGAGCTGGCCCTGCCTTGGGACAGGAGAGGCTCCCAGCTTGGA